TTCTCCTGTGATAGTGCTGCGATCTATTGAATTTTCCTACAAGTATTTTTCGGTGCATTTAGCCTTAAAGGACGCTTAAGAGAATTGGTACGTCTCATGTGCGTTAAAACGAACGCCTGATTTTCCGAAAAAAAAATATTTGGCGTCTTCCTACAACTACAATTGTGAAGATTCATTTTTTCTTTTTGGAATGTGTTTATCAAAAACAGATCTGCAAAAAAAGTCATGTTGAATGTTTTGAAAATACGAGAATTTTTTTGTGTAATTCGGCGACAAACTTTGTCCTTCGCTCCGAATCTACCGCGCTTCGTGAACGTAATTCCAGGCAGGTGGACGCTTCGTAAATCTAGAGCGAGAATTTTCTAGTTTTCATGAATATAGCGTTAATCTCGCTTTTTTATTTTAACCATCATCCAACTATTTATAGTAAAAGGATGGCGTAGGAATTCTGGTGCTCAAGAAAAGTGCACAGATTGAACCTATTATCTGTTTCCCCAATTTATGAACAGTTTTTTACGAAAATAAATTAAATCATCACTTTTTTTTGTACTGCTGAAACCACCAATTCATACTCCAAAAGTAGTAAATAGCCCTCCGTTTTGCACGGGACCCTTCAATTTCGTGATGTATTGATCCCTAGAAAAGAAAGGGGAATTCAGTATTGATTGTTATTTTTGAAGCAAAGGAGGGAAGAGAGACTTGTTATGATTGTTAATCTAATATCAGAATGTGATTTTTATATTACGTGAATTATTACAAATTTACGACGAGAAAGTCTGTGCAATTTTAGTACCATTCCGAGTTAGTATCATTCAGAGTTGTTGTTATTATTAATATTATTATTATTATTATTAATTACCGGGAGTTGGTTAATTGGATTTGCATTAATTATAATTATTTTTATTTTCAGAATACATAGCTTTTGGCAAGAGCAGAATGAATCTCAATATAGTGACGTGAGTATCGTGTTTCCCGTTTTTTCATTTCGCGCGTCCTTCATCTGCCTCTCAGCTGCGCGAAATTATGCCAAAACACGTCTCTTCGTTTCTCGCGCGCCAATCCTTCGATTCCTCTCATACAATCTAACTTCTGAATGGTCACACACATTTCAGCATATGATCTGTTTATTCTTTGGTTTCCTGCTTGTAATAACTTCTACTACTACTTCTTCTACTTCTTCTTACTATCTCTATGGTAATAACTTCTTAATTTAGTTTTTGCCCCACGGAATTTGCTCACGTGTCCTTTCACTGCATTATTTGTTAACATATTATGTATTTTCCCTACTATCAATTCTGTTGTCCTTTTGTTGTATTGTTCCTGAAATAAAACTCACTCGGTTTCTTTTCAATACCCTCATTGTTGCTGACATCTATATTAATAATTACGTACATTTATTATTTCTATTTAATTACCCTTGTGATAACCTATCACAATAGCTTTTTTGACGGCAAGCGGTCGATTTTCAACTTTTCAAAAATAGTGTTGTAACAATCTAAACGTAGTAGATTGTAGATTTTCATATTAAGAAAATGCAAATAACATTAGTATTGATATTACTGTAAGAAGATCTGTGGTTATTAGCTTTACAGAACAATGTATATATTTCGTGGACTGCTCTGTTTACACAACTGAATCAGTATATCTGAGAAAGAAGGCTGCTCTATTTCAGGCAGACCCTAGCAGTGTCAGTTGTTTATAAATAAACTTAATAGTCTCATTTTGTCAGAAGACTTCTATTTGATACCGTATGCTTCTGCGATTCACAACATGACATAAGTCTCACGGTTGCTTTATGTTGGACGTAACGATGCGCCATGTCATTAACGGCCTGTAGTTTGAGCAGCGAGTCCGGCGAGCAGCGAGCTGCCTACGTGAGCCGGTGAACAAACGATTTAAAAAAAATGTTATTTATGCGTATCGTACTTTGAAATTTTGAACATTATTCACCAAATATAAAACGAGGACGTTTCTCGAGATTTGTAAGTTTGAAGTCTTTAAAACTTGTTTTGTCATTCAAATTCTATTTTTAATCCCCTAATCACATACCACAAATTCATTTCAGTATTTAATTAATATTATGTGTACAATCTTAAGTCAGAGAGTTTGTTTTATTCTTGAGATTTACAAAAAAGAATTTCTGACAAGAGAAAATCTTTTCTATGGCTAATTTGCAATGCAGGCAGAAAATGAATGAAAATATGCCTCCTCCGTGAAAGCAGAGTCGATGGTTTCGTCAGATTCGTTTCCAGGAGCGTGGGCAATATCCAAAAGCAATAGAGGTGTTTCGATTTTGCCTGAAAATGCAAATATTGGATTGTGTTATTCTGCATATTCTCATACTGCACATACCGACTGAATTCTCATAGTCATTGCGTCGTGACGTACGATACAGCTGACATCATGCAATAGGAAAACGCCAAGGAAGAGCCCATCCGACATTGAATGTTTGCATATCATTTGTAGTACAGATCAGTAGCTTTTTTGATATTCTGATATGTAAAGAACTGATGTACTATACTGTTATTGCTGTAATGTAAACTATGTTTTTGTTATAATATTTAATTTTTCGAGTGTTAAATTTTTTTGTTCTTAAACAGTGCGTGAACTTCTTTTAAGAAAACTTTTCTGGGGGTTTTTGTTCCACAGAATCTTTGGTGAGGTAGGTCGCTAGTATTTTATTGATGACTAAGACTTCAAGATAATATTTTGTGGTCGACGAAATTTGGGGTTGAATTTCTCCAGCGAACATAGACATATTTATATAGCATTTAGGATTTCACATCCGATATAATTATGAATGAATGTGATTTAGTACCGAGAAGTGAGTTTCCCGACGTTTCGGCTAGACCAGATCAGATATACTGCGGGGGCGTGAACTTCTGGCTCGCTTGTGGGAGTGTAAAACCTCAAAGTCCATCCCAGACGTAAAACAAAAGATTTCAGAACGCACTTTTCAGTACAGAACTAACCACACTCCCAGTAAACCTCACTGATATATTTAACTTATATTTATAATTAGGAAAAATGAACATTCCAACTTTGTTGAGCGCCATCCCATTCTCACTCCAGTCGAAGGTTTATAATGTTTGGCTCGTCCCCGCAGAGGCGCCCGGGGCGCTCCCAGGCGCCTGGCGCGCCTCAAGGGCGGCGCCAAGACCTCGGGGCCCGAGTTCGAGTTCAAGCTGGCGGGGCTGGTGGCTCTGCGCGCCCGCCGCCGCGGCCTGCGCTTCGAGCTCTTCAGCAACGCGGGCGCCGCGCGGCCCTGCGACGATCTGCTCCTGCGCCTGCTGGGGCCGCGCCCCGCCCTCTACTTCGTGCAACTCAAGCACTCGCAGGGCCAGCAGGCGGTGGGCACGCAGGTGGGTGGGTGGCTGTGCGTGCTAGGACGATGCTCTATCGCCACCTACATAGTGCAGCTCAAGCACCCACAATACCAGCGGGCGGTAGCCTGGATGTCTCTGGGCTAGGACAATGCAAAACTTTTCGAAAAAAATGTTCCATTGATTTTAATTTTTTTTAGATAGTGTGAAGAACGTTTGAGAAAATGGTGCAGGTCTGATGTTCGTTAAAAAACATGATTTTTGGAAAATTGCAAAAATTGCGGAGTCTTCCTACAACTAAAATATTAAAGAAAGAGATTTTCCCTTTAATGCAATCTGTTCACTGTAAAGACTGATTTCGAAATATGTTAAGTTTATTACTTTTTACGTTATTTACCGTGAAAATAGGGCGAGAACGTACATGCTCTTTTAACACCTTTTGTAACTTCAGTGTTTTGTGAGAAGTTAAAATTAATAGTTACTAAAAATGGGGGAGGGGAATTATTCTCATACCCGCCCCTGTGGATCCACGCCTGGTCATATTATTACACTTCTGTTTTGGAATGACGATACTAGTAATACCATCATTCCAGAACAATGCCGCCAATTGGGGGAAAAAGAGGGCATTGCTGTGAGTGTAGCCAACATCGTAATATAAAAATGCCTCGTTGATTCTCCACCAGGAGTGCTATACATTTAATAAGAAAAAATTATGTAATCCACATAATTTGGGAAATGAATTAAAAACTGAGTATATCGGAAAAAGTCCGAACATTGGGACATTTTACCAAAAATCAAGACGGGTTGGAACCCTAGGGGAGTAGGGCTATCAAAATGGCCCGTATTTACATGTCGTAATTTGATGGTTTATGCCGCAGGCGCTCGTTGCGAAGAGCGGCGATTTCAGCCTGAGCAAATACTTCGAGTTCTTCGAGAAGCTGCGCGGGTTGCACGCGCAGCGCGACGCCTTGACGAGCAGCGACGCCCTGTGGCTGACGGAGGGTGACCTGGCGGACGCGCGCTTCCTGCTCTTCACGACCAAGGCCGTGCAGCGGACGGCGCGCGGCGGCGCGGGCGCGGGCGCGGGCGCGGGCGGAGCCGCCGACGACCTCTTCCTCACGGGCGCCGGCGGCTCCGCGGACGTCTTCTGCTTCGACGCGGCCGACCAACAGGTGCGGAGGGAGACACAGGGTGGGATTCTGCCCTTTGGCATGGAATGCTACGCGTAATAAGTTCTTCCGCCGGAAATGGTATTCAAATATGCTCTTATACTCCCACATACATCCCATACTTCGGTGTACTAGGTATTTTAATACTTAAGATTGCTTCTTGTACGAATATGTTAGCCTCTAAAAGAGAATATTTAAAATTGAAGAACGTATACCAGTAATAAGATAAACTAGTGCAGGGCCATAAAGTTATCTAATTTTTGATCAAAACATGGCAACGTGTTGGAACCCGTTTAGTAACAAGAGAAGCCATACCATCTAATATGGAGATATTAACATTTACGAGTGGCTAGAAGCTTGCCCTGTCTGGTGTGGCTTATCCTCGTCCTACTCAATTACCGTTAATTATATGTTTTCAGTAAATAGGAAGTATTTTCTTTTGGGCGCCTTCGAGAATTCCATTCTCCAAATATTGCAGAGATGGAACATAAAGTATCATATCATTTAAGAATTTACTTGTGTGGGGTAGGTGTGGGACCTTTTCTCCGGCAACGTCAATCGTGAGGAGATTTATCGCAACGAGTTCCTCCCGCGTTTGCAAGTCTTCCACTGCCAGAGCCACGCAGACGATCTGGACGGGCTGATCCTGGCGGAGATCCAGCTGCTGTTCGGCGGGGACCTCCCCGCCAAGCGCGCCAACACCTTCCTCGACGATTACCTGCGCTTCCTCAAGAGCTGGTCGCAGGACGACTCGCAGGACTACTGCCTCACCGAGGCCACGCCGCAGCTGCTGATGGAGTGCGCCCTGGCGGCCGAGCTGCGGGCGGCGGCGGCGCAGGCGGCGCGCGGGCTGGCCTTCCAGGTACGCAGCCCCCAAAAACACTTTGACTGGATAAGTAGTGATTCCGGGCGCGTCCAGGACCAAGGACACTAGTCCCGTAAGTGCAGTGCATGTTTTTTTGCCGCGGAGGTGGTGGTGATCTTCCCCTGGTGGTTGTCGAGATCCGGCGCCACCTACCTGTCGGCTTACCTGTCACCTACCTGTCGGCTTTTCCCTGTCAGGTATCCTCCCCCAGCGGAACGATCTAAGCTCCCGACTGGTCTCCCAGTACGTGCCGGTAATCACTAATCAATCAATGAATGGATGTCTTGAGGACATGGAGATGGATGCTGCACCCCCTTGCAGGATGCGTTCTGCGCGGAGCTGCGCGCCGCGCTGGGCCGCGGGGACGCGGCGGCGCTGCGCGTGGCGCTGCGCGTGGCGCTGCGCGGCGTGGCGCCGGGCGTCCGCGCAGCCAAGCTGCGCCAGGCGCTCGAGCGGGACTTCCCCGGCCGCTGGGGCTACGTCGACGACGCCGCCCTCAGCCGCTTCGCGCCCAGGACGCTGGAGGTCGTCGCCCGCACCTGCCGTGTGTTTGTGCTGGACCTCCAGAGGAGCTCCCAGCGGGCGGCGCAGCTGGTGCACGCTCTGCAGCGCGACGGGGTATTGGCGGTGGAGTTGTGCGGAGAAAAGGGGACTCCGTTAATCCCCAACGCGTATTCCATGGACGACAATTGGACTTTGGCGCAACTCTCAGACGATGCTCAGGAGGCGATTCTGGATTCCACCGTGGAGTTCCAAGTAAGAAGAACTGAGATTCCTTACATTCAAATAATATCGCCCCCAAACACGTGTGTCATAAATTCTAATCAAGAAACTTGTAAAGAAGTGCGTGTTTTTGCTTTTAATTTGTGGGAAATCTCTTAATTTAAAAAAACATAATTAATTCTAATAATAAACAATAAAGATAAAGAACATATTAGCAATATTGTTCTTGGAAACCTCTAACTTTTAAAGAACTAGACATAAACAATTGGGTGCAAAGATTTCCGTAGAAGTGTAAGAAAAAAACTATTAACACGCAATTAGAATCGACCATTACCATAGTAATTTATTGCTTTCATGTAAGGCTTATGATTTCACCCTAGGTATGGAGAAAAAACAATCACGCTTCCAATATCGTTCAATGATACGATATTGAATGTTGGAATAAGACATATAACATGCATTAATCTAACTGGAGTGAATATCTTAACAATAATTAAAAAGGATCTTCCTTGAACTACATCTCCCGAATCGCTTTCGTCTTTAAGAGGTTAGGAGCTGATTTCTTATCCTCTTAAGATCAACATTTCATGATCTGTAGTGACATTGTTTTAGTTCTCGTAATAATTAATAAACAATTATTAGCTGATGATGTTTCGCAACACATTGTTTCGTTATATAAGGATTTTAATAAGTAATATTGTCCTCCACTGAAACTGTTCTTAATATTATTCTCTATAAATATACGATAATATTTACTACGCCTTCGAACTAATCCACGGTTTTTGAGTAAAATTTATTTTGTGTGTGTGTTCTGAAAATGAAATAAAACTGTGTGTGAAACTGAAATAAAAACACCAAGATCAAAATTTAACGTTGGCACTGCAATTACCGGCCCAATTTCGTTTTATTATTGCATAAAATTGTTACCTTGTACCCCTGCCGCCTCAAATCGCTATCACATAACAAATTTAAATAACATCACTACTAAATAATTATAACATTTCTTTCGAAAAAACACTACATTTGCTCATTCATCGAAAAATACAAAAGTAACATCATTCACACATTCGCGCATTCCTTTTTTATTGCCATGTATGTTGAAATTCAATGTCATACTGCTTGAAGTCAATGTTTTACTGCTTTAAGAACATTCTTGTATACATGTCATATTGATATGTCGAATTAATTGAAATGTTCACTTCCCTTACGCAGCGGCGCCGTCAGCTTCGCCAGAGAAAGTCGTACGTGCCTCGCCGACTTTCAGAATTTACCGACTTTAAATTAAAACTCGTTCCGATATCCATTATATTTTTTTTCCATATCCAAACATCCACTGTCCTTTTACGCAACACTTAATAAAGTAAACCACATTATACGACTTGATAATCTAATATGGCCTCCAGCCTACAACGACGATGCACTCCACACTAAGTCTAGCGTCGTTCTGTCTTCTTGTTGCGATATCTTCCCATCAAGTTCGAAAACAATTTGCCGTCTTCCTCATTCGTCAATTACTTTAGAGTGTTATTGCTTTTTCTCGTTTAATTTTGCTAGTACTCGATCCCACTCCCTTCCGTAATTAAGTTAGATGTTCTTTTAGTTATTTCTTCCGCATTGTATTATTTTATAATCCCGTTCAGCTTATTTTATCACTGTTACTTACATCTGAAGTTTTCACCTTGTTGTGTTCGATTGTTTTCCAAAAATATTGTTCCTTTTGACTTTCTTCCAAAACTTAAAATTCATATGAATGTTCATAACACTAAAACCCCATCCCGGCCTGTCTGTTGTTCACAGTTCCTCAGCTCCGGCTCGATAAATTAATATCACTTTTTTCGAATTCCTTCATTTGTTTATCATTTGTTTATGTCGCTTCCGGGTTATTAAAACAAATTTAAATTAATGCTTTGACAAATCCGCATGGATCGTCACAAGAGAGACTACTGTAGGAACTCCATTTGCTCTGAAGCCATCTAGTAAGGATAAACCTACCACGATTACCCCCATTACGATATTTTCCTTTAATTAAGGTCATTCAGATAGCAGATATTTGTGTAACTATAATTAAAGTAAAATGAAGATGGTGATGAAATGATGGTCGTGTTCTTCCCCAGGGTTGGTGTGCCACACACTAGCATCACGTGGCACACCAGCCCTGAGGAAGACCACAACAAGATGGTCGAAACGTCGGCAACAGCCTTCGACGCGGCGTCACCCGGACAGCCCAGATCACGGAGATGTAGGTATGTCTCGTACGAATATCAGGGCTCGATTGAACTTGGTTCGTCGCGTTGCCAGGCAAGGCGAGGCGAAGTTCGCGGTAGTTTGACTTTCAATAAGAATTGATCTGAGTGCGTTGCAATTAGATATTCTAAGCAGTGCTTAGATTATAATTTAAACAAGTTATATAATTATTCGGCAAATTGCACATTATAAATTTTGAGGCTAACATATTAAGTTATCCGAATGGCGTAAGAATTTTCCAAGAAGGCGCCGCGCGACCCTCTGAGCGATTCTGCCGTGCGTTGGGGGACCAAGAGTCGTGAGCGGGCGTCTGGCTGCTGCGAATTACGCGAGCTTACGTAATCAAGTCGTTGTGTGTTGAAATATAAAGTACAGTACAATACAATCAGAATTACGTACATGCAAAGAATGCATAATGTGTGCCTATAAGATAATGTATTAAATCATCTTGTTTCGACAGTAATAAATGTATTAAATTAATAGCAGAATGAACGACCACACCCACTGTCTGCCAGGGCGACGCCTTGTTCCTGCGGGAGCTGCTGCCGACGTGGCCGCAGCTGCTGCAGGAGGTGGACGGCGCGCTGCTGGGCGTGCTGGCGCGGGGCGGTGGGGCGGCGCTGGGCGCGGCGCCGCCCGCCGCGGAGGAAGGCGTCTCCATGGAGCGCGCCGTGCAGCACCGCAGCGCCCTCGCCCCCGCCGTGCTGCGCCTCCACTCCAGCACGGACCACCTGGCGTTGAGCGGCTTCCCCGAGCGGATGCTGCAGGAACTAGGCCGAGCGCTCAACGTGCGGGACTGCACTCGGAACCTGTGGTACGGAGCCAGCGCAGGCTCTTGCGCCGACGCGCTGGAGATGCGTTGTGTAGAAACAAAATTGAGAGCAGAGCTAATCTCTGGGTGTACTTTTTCAACCGCCCCCAAGGATTTCTTGTAGAGTTTCTTGGCAATGCAGCCGTTATTCAGCGCCCCGCGAATCGTATCCCTTCTAGAAATAGTTGTAAATCTCAGCTGTATTCCTCTGCTGATGTCCTCTTTTTCCTGCTGTACTGAACATAATATTTTCAATGATTGGGTCTGTCCTTAGAATTACTAACACACGCACAGTTGAAGGTATTTTAATTGTCCGTGCTTTTTAGCCGGCTTGTAGTTTCCAGTTATTTTCCAAGCCCCTCTATTGAGGCTGCGAAATACTCGTAGGAGAAGTTGGGAGAGCAATTAGTAGAGGCTGCAACGAATCATCGCCTTTTCTATCAGTAGTTTTTTATCAGACAAGAGTGTTCTGGAAAAGTGACGACGCAGAATTGACAAAGATTGCTACTTGGAGAAAGAATGAACGAGTATTGAAGAGATTGTTACAGTTACCTCTGTCCAGGCGAAATCAAATGATTATTTACGAATTACGTTTTACTTCACGTTACGACTGCAATCAGTGCCTCTGATGAAAATGTGAGTTTGTGACGCGTCGTGGCGTCTGTAGTAGAAATCGGCAAGTTCCCTGTAATTTGACAATGGTATATTTTACGCGGGGCTGCCCAGAAGCTGATGCAATCTTTCAGTGACGCTCCGAACTAACAGGAAGCAGTTGACAATCTACATCAAGGAAGTTTGTACGAAAGAAGTGAGTATTTGGCCAACCGGGATGAACTTCGCGTGGCTTTTTGAGTAAAATGAATATCCAAGCAATCCAAATGAAGCGCCAAGTTTGAAATGCGTGATCCCTTCCTCCAAAACGCCTTCAAAGAACCTCAAAAGTGCCCTATTAAAAAACACGGTACCAAATTTGAAGCAATTTGGCGGTGAACGTACCAACACCCTCATTCTCCCGTTATTCATTTAATCTTCTATCAGTTGAAGATTTATTCATTACACAGGCACTAAGCCCAAAACCTGTAGCGTTTCAAATTCACAGATGTGTTAATCCTGTGTGTATGTCCACTGAGAGCAGGCCCTAAGAGGTTCGTGGCGCGCAGGTGGACGGCGCTGGGCGCGGGCGCGGACCGGGCGGCGGTGAAGCGACTGCGGCACCTGGGCAACAACGTGCACTGGATCGAGTGCGTGGGCGGCGAGGCGCTGGACGAGGCGGTGCTGGAGTGGCGGTGCTCCGTGGGCGACCCCGGCGCCGTCGCGCGCTTCGTGCGCCCGCTCACGGCCGAGTGCGCGCGCGCGCCCGAGTGCGTGCACGGGGCGGCGTGGGGCGTCGCCGGCGCCGCCGGGCTGCTGGTGGGCGAGGCGGGCGTGGGCAAGTCCTCGCTGCTGCGCCAGGCCGCCGCCGACGCCCGCCGCCGAGCGCCCGCCAGCTGGGCGGTGTTTGTGGAGGTGCTGGCGCACCGGGACTTCCTACGACGCCTGCCTGCCCCCGCAGGTGAGTGTCGCCTGCGGGCCCGGCGACCGCTTTGACAGGCCGTAAGGGTAGGATCCAATCATGTGTACTGAGGGCCAGTAGTAGACGTGAAAACCATTTAGATATTTTCTTCTTATAATCAGAAAATCAAGAATATGTGGGTTTGTATAGAGACTTTATCCAAGTGCGCGTATGTCTCATTTTGTACTGTTACCTAGTGTTTCATTGAAATAATTCCGTGATGAGAGTTCTGTAGAAGGCCCTGTTCTGTTGGAGAAATGGATCTCGCCAGTCCCTCCTATTGGTAAATAGAGGTGAGGAGAATCGTTCGTAATCCCTGCAGCAGTGACGCTTGCACGGCAAGGTGTATTGGTTATGACCAAGACTGAGTCATACCCCTGCAGATTAAAAACAACATTTTGAGACAATAATTAAATTTCTGCGCAGAATTGACGCTGGAACACGCGTTGGAGCTGCTGGCGGCGGCGGCGGGTGTCGCGGCGCCGTCCTGCCCTGGAAGCGATGCGCCGCGGCGCTGCCTGGAGGCAGCTGTCCTTCACAGCGGGGCCATCAGCGTATTCGTCGACGGCGTCGACGAAATCTCGCCCTTCTTCAAGGACAAAGTGCTGAAGCTGTTGCAGCTGCTGCAGGACGTTCGGATGGAGGTTCTGTGGGTGTCGTCTCGTCCTGAGGTGCGACTCTTCACTCTTTCGCGCCTATTGAATTGTTTACCACGTGCGTAATGGTGGAAACAATTTGAATATTCCATTTGATTCTTCACGCATTAAGAATATTTATGACAAGTTGAGGAAGTTGAGGAAGTATTTAAAGTGTACAATTAAACAATATTTATTTTTTAAATAATTCTACTGCTTAACAGCCTTTCAATATTTCATCAGTTATAATCTTTCATGATATCAGTACCTAAGCTATCTGGCCTTGTATGGAATATATAAATGATTTCTTGGTCGGATGAGAATTATATTTTATGAATGATATTGGATGAAGAATCATAGAACGATCATGGGACGAAAATTAGGATAATAGGCAGGGTTGACTCACGAATTTCAGCTGAGTCGACCTGAAATTGATTTACAGTAAAAAGGTAATAGGGTATGTCTTCATATAAATTTTACTTTGATCACGTGTTTCAAGCAGCAGTGACCAAATGGGGCACGCTGCAGCAACTTACTCATGTCGCGACTGAATTGGTGCCCCGAACATTTTTTCATTGAAAACAAATAAAAAAAGATTCATATTCAGCGCTATCATTTATTTCTGCTGCATGGACAAATGAAGTGTTTATTATTTAGGGGTGGGTTTGTATTTATATCAAATAAAGGGGCCTTGTTGAACTACTGCCCAAGGGCTGTTTTCCTTGAGCTCTCCTTGCTTCAAGACTTTCAAAATCAATAACTTAATGACAAGTCCCATAGAAAATTATACAACACTGTACTAATAAATTAAGGATATGACGGAGGTTTCTTTATCACATTTATTCTGAAACTACGTGAAAACCAAAGGGAACCATATTGAAGTTACAAAACCGCTTTTGTACTTCCCTCGAGTAGCACCGTTAAAATGAATTCTTGATGCTTTCTGATAGTGGTCTGCAGTTGTGTATCTCCATCGTGTAATGTGCGGCTGGCGCTTTCAAACCGCCAGCTCTGGCAGCCACGTCAGCAGCGCGGCAAAGGCATAAAGCAGAGATATATCTCTACTCTATGCTATATATATATATATATATATATATATATATATATATATATATATATATATAGAGAGAGAGAGAGAGAGAGAGAGAGAGAGAGAGAGAGAGAGAGAGAGAGACAGAGAGAGAGAGATGTATCTCCTCCTCCTTCTGGAGTGCGCTCAGAAAGATCGCCGCGCGCGTTCCCAGGCGTCGCGCGGCAACGAAGCTGCCAATAAGTCGCGGGAAGCAGCGCTCTCGGCTCTCGACCAAATATAAAGGCCCATACACAATGCAAACATAAAGATAAGCATGGCGTTAACATGAAAGTTAAAAGTAAGTCCATAAGCTGACTCATTCACAATGCGTTCGCATAAGCATAATACGTAAGACGTTAACTTAAAGCTTGCAAGCTTCTGTGCTTATGCTTAAGTAAGACATAAGAAATGAACCAATCACAGAACAGTAACTCAAAACCGAGAATCGAAATTGGAGTGAAGTCGATAGAAGAACTAATGCCATAGGGGCCATAGACACAGTCGATTCATTGAAATCGATTCTCACATCCAAACAATAGTAAATCAGAATGTCTCACAGCCAATAGAAACTCTAATGTTGCTTACGTTTATGTTAGACATTGTGAATGCTTCAGACTATCACTTATGTTAATATTTATATGTATGCACTATGCTTATGTTCACGTTTGCATTGTGAATGGGCCTTAAGGAGGCTGGCGGAGAGCGGTATCAGTTCATTTCGGGCGTTTCAAATGCAGTCCAGTTTCGGTGGGGTCAAGTACAAGTCAGCGGTTTAATGTGTTGGGCTGGAACCTTTAGTACTTCGGAAGACTTTTGGAAAAGTTAATTCTTGGGTTTGTTCGTGTTAACGGTCGAGATAGACCTTTCCTGTAAAATAAACTTCTCTTTTAAAACCTTGAACTTTGTTGGGATTCTTCTCATCGCTTATGTGATAGAGTGAAGGGGTTTCTGGCCAACTGTTTCAGTAAAACTTTATCATTTACATATGTTACAATACTAAGAAATGAATAATGAATATTGATTTGTGCTGCCAAGAGACCTTTGGATTTGGATTTCTTCTATGTTAGGGACAACGTGTGTTCCCGTGCGTTTCAACGTGTTACAAATTTTCCACGCTTCGATAGCCACGATTCATTCAACCGTTCGTGATGTCGCATCAAGTACTTACGAGACAGACCTGTGCTATCGGTTGGTCACTTAATAGTTACGATATGTAGCTCCAAGCACACGTCTTAGTTTTCTAATTGATCGTGTACGATTAATTCTGTGACCACTGCCAAGCGAGTTGTTTCACTTCAATGACGCCATTATATGTTTAGAAAGTAGGCATGAAAGAAATTATATATCGACAATATTTTAGGAACTGTAATGTTCAAGTGACGGTCTCAGAGGACAGGCTTCGCTCATCGTCTTAATACGCAAGTGTCACTTTTCAAATCGCTACGCACATTTAGGATGTTGAGTGGACTTTGCTTTGTGGTTCGTACAAGACAGTCTAAAAGTGCATATGAGTGGTGATCACGGATGTGGGTCCAGGGCTGCCTCCGCTTCCAATCAGATGCAGACACGTAATTGCCCAACGAAACGTTTATTGTTAAACATATAATTCACTGGCACAAATACAGAAATGTACAGTTTGGATGTTGCAATTGCATTCAAAACACTTCAGTTACCCCGAGTGATGCTCGCTGTCGCACATCGAAAGTTATGTGGTAAGTTGTACGTTTCTTACACAGATGACATTAAACTTTGGTGGACAAGTTAATGTGTTATGTCCATACGTTAAAATTTATGCACGCTGAGAGACATTGAAACACGTTACGTGAAGTTGTATGCTTCATACAAAATACCTTGACGCAGGGAGACTGAATGCCTCCTCATGGAGTTCACAACACAACACGTGTAACTCACATCGCGTCTGAAGGTGAACTGAATATTCTCCCAACGGGCGCTCGCATTGCGAGATTGACTGCGCATAAGGCGCGGAGAGGAGAGGAGAATTGGCCCATCACGAATGAGCAATCAAATCGCTCTGGAACCTTTTGGAAGGGTCGGATAGTTAAAAACGGTTGGAAGAGCGTTGTTTGTTCTGGTACGCTAGATATTCAGAGAAAACCGCCGTGACGTCACGACGGTTGCACCGCACACACGTTAGCCGTCGCAGGGCTCGCCCATGGGCGGCGGACGTCCTGTTATCTGCAAGAGAGCACAAACGCGAAGAAAATTTGCCCTTGCAAAGCACGTTTAGAAGTAAAATGTAGCTGTTCGTTTATTTTTTTTTTTTTTTTTTTTTTTTTTTTTTTTTTTTTTTTTTTTTTTTTTTCAAAAGCACTTGGAGATATTGGTAGGAAGTAACTGTATTTGTTCTGTGCGGATTAGGCGAAAACTCAGAGCAGTCTTTTATTTAATTGGCTGTCCGAGCGACGCCGCGTCAATGGCGACCGAAACGTCGGCACCTTTGCCATGGACGCGGCGTCACTCGGACAGACAATTAAATACTGACTCCGGTCGCGGAAGCCTACGCTCTCATCCGAGTGGGCTCCTGACTGTGGCAGGTGGCGGCGTGTCTGCGCCGTGCGCTGCGCTGCCTGCCCGCGTCGCTGCGCGCGCTCACCCCGGCGCAGCAGGAGAGGTTCCTGCGCGAGCACTGGGGCTCCGTGCACGCGCGGCCTGCCGCGGAGTTTGCGGGCCTGGCCGCCGAGGTGGTGGGCGCGCTGCGCATGTCCTCGCCCGGCCTCCTCGACGTCCTGCTGCACGTCAAGATGGCGGCCGAGGCGCTGGCTGAACGCGCGGAGGCGGCGCTGCGGCCTGGCGGCGGCGGTATGATGCTTGCCTGCAGCGATGCTTCCTTTTTACATATTGCCACAAGTGGCGTAGTGAGGCGGTGCGCCCCGGGTTACACCATTTTATGGGTAACACCAATTAGAAAATTTTATAGTAGGAATTATACAGTTTTAATGGTTAAATTAATTAAACGTTGTATATAAACGTGTTACAATATCTCGAAGATATTTATGTAAAATAAATAAATAGATAATGGCTAATTCCGACGATAAGTTCGTATAATTAAGGGTAAATGAGAGAAGAAACGTTACTTTGTGTGGCTATACGTCTCACTTTAAAAGAACACGTTTTTTGTTAAGTATTATAATACATGTCAAACTTAAATTTAATTAAAAAATATTGAATTATAGAGTATTATATATAAGGATAGAATAGCATCGAATATTCTTGTAAACAATGTAACAGTACACAATCGAGAGGAGGAATATTCAAGGAGGGTAGATAATTTTGAGAGAGCAGTTGAATCGGAAGTTGAAATGGGCAATGTCCTGGTCTATTTCTTGGTGAGTTTATAGAGTTAGGGGTCTGATCTTGTTTTGGGGTCAAGTGTTTGAGCTTTTTCTAGTCTAGTGGATTGATGGTTAGGGGTTGACCTCCCACGTATGTGGTAGATGGTTGGATTGTATTTGGGTGAAGATAAGCGGCTCCTCCAGAGGCGTTTGGAGGTTGTAGTACTACAGACTGCAAAAGCTGCTGTTGATGTTGTTCTCGCTGCACTTGGTGGGGCATTTGTTGAGGAAGTAATCATTATTGTTCGATTTAATGTGGTTGGTTGAAGTGATGATTTCTTCGCCCTCATATTTTTGTTTCCACTTTCTATTGGTTGTGGGGTATTATTAATTATTAAAATTAATATTAATAATTATTAATAACTAAAAATTAATATTGATTCTGTACACTACACGAAGATGTAAGATTCACTGTCACTTAAACTAGCGGCTTAATCTAAAACTGGTAAAACCTGACATGGAAGTTCACAACGGAGGTTCGAGACGGTCTGCCCGACATTATTTGTGCTTTACAAATATCCGCTCATTCTTGATTCTACACTGTTTCCAACAAGCCGGGTGGACTGTCAACTTCCGATGGCCATTGAAGCGCAGTACCATTATATTGCTTTATAACTTATAATGTAACTAAATATTAGGAGTCACCTTATTTACATGAAAGACGATTCTTGTATCAAAATTCGTATATTAGCAAACTTGTATCTGAAATGTTCAGTTTCGACGTGCAAAGACTAAAATATAAAGAAGTGTGTAGTAATTGGTAAAATATGTAATTCAAAAAAGGTAATTCGTATATAAAAATAGGTAAAAATATGGAAATGGAAATGGTTCTACTTCAGAATGCCTTGTATATTTAAAAAACTGTTAAATGCAGATATCCTGTTCTTGAAAAAATATGTATTTGGATGAAAATCCGTTCCGTAATTACTATTGTTGGAGTGAATATGTGAGCAGCTGACTGTGATTTAAGCTTGAACTAGTTTCATTCCACAATTCTAACATCGAACAATTGGTCACCTTTCAAAACTCACCTTTAACTCCAAGGGCCACATCTGATTAAGATCAGATGAACGCATTTCCCTGAAATTGGTTATATTTGGAAATCGCTACCATTATTTTCAGGAATTCTGTCAAGGCTTGAATTTGACACATAATTGCACTATAAGATTTATAGAAAATTAGATTGTTAAATTGTAAAGCATAATCCATTAAAATATAAAGATACACTGATGGTGTAATTGAATTTAAACATGAAGTGCCATGATTAAAATTGTATGAAAATATCTTGAAGTTGTCAGTCTGTGTAACTGCACAAGCAAGGATTAAACAAATAAAATAGAAATTAGGACGTAAATAAAGTACAAAAATGTTACTGCTGATTCCCGGAGATACGTCCTCTCCGCGACGGAGCCGCATTCCATTGCTGTGGTGAGTTCCGAGGTCAGCACGTGACCCGGCGCCTGGAGCGAGCTGCGCCAAGCGTGTGGAGTCATGGAAGTGCATCGTGCAACATATTGTAGTCATAAATTAATGCATAGTATAAATGCTGTGAATTGTGATATATTTTGTACAGTTAACTTGTTAAGCTAATGATGTGGTGCAATGAATTCTTAGAAGACGCGGACGCTTCGTAGTGTAGCGTCACGGCTTGGCAGCAGCCGAGTGCAAGGTAGAGGGCTGGGGGATCTAAAGATAGAACAAAGAAGGGACCTTCCGACAGGAAATGGTCCGCTGGCCAGGCAGCGCCAGGGAAAGGCTTTCCACCGCGCGGGGGTGGGGAGTAGTGACGTAGGAGGTCAGGTGACTTGAACCTATAAAGACGCCGTGGCGAGACGGCGCGAGTGGGTAACGTTTTGGTTTCCTCGTGGCTAGACCACAAAAACTTTGTCCGCCCAGGCTGGTGCGGAGTGCCGAGGGCACGTGGTTGTTCGACGAGTTCGGCCAGGGTGATGTGTTCTTCAAACACATTCGGGCAGATCGTCAATCTGCCGGGGCACACCAGGTGCCAATCTACGACGCGGCCTTGCCGGCTGGTCGTAGGCTTCGCCGCAAGGCGCATGTAGGGAGAGGAGGGCTGCAGTGGTAGCTCTGGCAAACCGCCTTAGAGTGAGGGTTGTAAATATGTACAGTGTGTAAATAAAACTTGTATATACTCACTCGTGTCTGTTTCCTTGTGGTGTAGATCCCTACACACGACGTTACAGTAGGCATAATCCTTGGAAGCGTGCCGGTTGAAAAGTCACAGCTGCAAGAGGCAGAATTCTGAGACGCGCTCACGCGACTGAGATGTGATCTTATCGTCCGGTCGGGAGCTATTGGCGATCTCTTAAAATACAAAAGAATAATATATACAGACTAATATATACAGTTGTACTGAGCTTTGGCTATGAGCGAATGAGCAGACATGAATGAAATATAATTAGACTTGTAGAATAGAAGCTTGCGAGTTCGAACCATTATTATTATTATTATTATTATTATTATTATTATTATTATTATTATTATTATTATTATTCCAACATGCCTAGGAGCCCCGTGGCACCAGGGGTGGAGCAGTCTCTCGCAGCTGTACCACTTCTTCGTGGAGCACAAGCGTGCCATTTTCATGGAGCGGCATGGGCTCACGAGTGCCAACTGGGAGAACCTCTCGTACACCGACGAGTTCCAGGAGCGGCACCAGATGTGTGCCATGTACCTCATGGTGAGTGGAATCCGCACCTCATCGACGTTCAATTGGGATTGTGAGAGTTTCTTAAGTCGTTTGCGTGAACGACAAATGTTGTGGAAGGCGATATCGTATTATTTTCATTTGTACATTCAAGGACATCAGTCTACAATTTAGATTACCGTTCGATGTTAACTTAAAAAAGTTTAAAAACTGATTGAAACAGCTTAGATTGGGTTGATTCCATGACTATAAAAAAATTAAATTTTAATTTGCATCCAAACTAATGATTTCTCACAATTTTGAATAAAAACATCTTCTTAAGTGATACGCGGAAATGCTTTTTCGACAACAGTTCCCATGACGCTTTAACGTTCTTTTCTAGCTCTCAAGCGGGTCGTACGACGACGTTGACACGAGTCCCTTCCAAGAGTACATCGCGTCGAAGAGCGAGCTGGTGACGAAGGAGAAGACCGGGATCATGTGGGCGGACGAGAGCGGGCTGCCTCGCTTCGTGCACTTCTCCTTCGTGGAGTACTTCGCGGCGCAGTGGCTGGCGCAGAACGCCGCCAGCTGCGCGGCGCAGGTCGTGCTGCGCTCGCTCTTCGCCGGCAGAGGGAGCGACTTCCTGGCCGCCATGCTCGAGCGCACTCTCGTCGAACGCGCAGGTGGGAAAGCACGCCGCATCCACTTCTCACAAATTTACACGCATCAGTGTATTGTTACTGATGTGTTTGTTTGTTTTTTTTTTCATTTTTTCCCCCCTTCATTTTTCATTTTTCTCATTGACGCGTGCCAGAGGTGCGTCAAGCAGTAATAGACATGTCAACACTCCGGAATGAAATCAGTCAAATGATTTATTGATAATTAATTGCCACCTATCTTCGTGGCCAAAACGGGTGCTGGTTTCTGGTCGCCAGCACACACAAAAAATAAAATTTGTGTCGTAGCTTGACGAACACTCTCAATGGTTTATTGCTAATTCATTGCCATAATTTGGAATTAATTTCTGCGTACCTTCGTGGCGAAAACGGATGTGAGCTGGGCGTCATCACACACACACACACACACACACACACACACACACACACACACATACAACTTAAATTCGGGTCGTCGCTCGACGGAAACCCTCAGTTGATTTATTACTAATTAATTGTCATAATTTGGAATTAATTGCCACGTATCTTCGTGTCGAAAACGGTTCTGAGCTGGGCGCCAGCACACATAAGTTAAAATCGGATCGTAGTTGACGGTGACGACATTGGCCTGCGATGATTTCATTGTCACCATCTTGTATTGCTTTTAGGATCATATCACGTTTTTAAAAGAATGTTTTATTACGTTTTTATTTTATTTGTGTACTAAGACAATACTAACGTTGCACTTCTTACGAGTTGTTTTAAATACAATTTCCATATTAATTTGTTTATTCAATATCCTGCAATCATCTGACAACCTTGTATAATCCGCATGAGTAGAACCAGCAACACGGTACAATAGATCAGGTATCGCAGAATGGCGAAATTTTGTAGTGGTGAGTCCGCTATTCTGAGTTGCGTTTCACTTGCTATTGAAAGATATTTGTTATTTATTGCTTCTTGAAAGTTTGCTATTTTGGTATTTATAAGTGTTCTATAGTTAGTGAATACGATGTTTAACATGTATTGTAAACAATTATTATTTATTTAAACATCCTACGTCGTGGCCGCAAGAACAGTCCAGATTTGTTCTACTATGTTTGTGAAAGTTTCGTGTTCATTAAAAAGCAGCGCAAAATAAACGAATTTGCGAGAAAGAGCTAATATACCTATTTCGGTATCAAACTTGGGGACCAAGACAAGCCGTACTATTAGCCGCTTATACACGTTTTACAGAACGTCTTTAGAGCATGAACAATGTACTAGAAGATTTTGCGACAGAATTTTCGGAACTAATTGAGAATGATCTTATTACAGAACAACGCCGAAGAGCAGCTTACAGATGATTTTTTGTATGCATTTTTTTCTGCATTTTAGCAAAAAACGTAAACATGTAGCTGTACTAAATTCTAACCGTGAAGCGTCATTCGTATCTGCAAGTATTTTTACGGCGTTGATAATTTTTAAATTGCAATATTACCAATTCACATCCCCTATCATAGAGGTAGTATCATAGAAGGCCATTGGGGGTTGCAAATTTTTGAACAGGAGTAAAACATTATTACTTGCTACGGTACAAAGTCTGAAGAAAGTTATGAAGCTTTCCAAATAATGACCAGATTTGCAGCAACTGGGGGAGGTGGGGGAATAAACTAGAAATTGAAACTTTTGAAATTTATTCTTCTTTTACTTATACTCCTATATGCAGTAGCATGAGTATGGGCCCGTCCGCAAAACATATATCCGAGCCCCCTTTATAAAAGTGCATAGCAACCAGATGTAGTGTTAGTACCTTAAATAATAAAAATATCCCCTAAAAATAGGCCCGTCTTTTATCTGGGCCACTGCCCACACCGAGTAAGGCGCGCAAGTAAAAAGCGGCCTCCACAGGCCCGGGGCGCGTGCTGCCGCTGCACGAGGCGGTGCTGTCCGGCGACGACGCGCGGCTGGCGGAGGCGTTGGCGCAGGCGAGGCGCTCCGGGGCCGACGTCGACGCCCGAGACGCGGGCCAACGAACAGCGCTGCATCTGGCGGCGCACCGCTGCCTGCCGGGCGCCGTGCGGCAGCTGCTGGACGCCGGCTGCGACCCGACGCGCGCAGATGCTCTGCTGTCTTGGACGCCCCTGCACTACCTCGACTGCTCCGCGGCCAAGCACGGGGGCTGGAAAATGGACAGGATGAGTGTGGGCGAGGCCCTTGTGGAGGCCGGCGCGAAGCCCGAAGCTCTGGAGAACTTGACATCATTATTCCCGCCAACCTACGTCTACGAGGATTTTGACGTTCCACCAGATTTCCCAAAGGTTTGTATTTTGAGTGAATGAAAGTAACTAGTAATTCCACTGTTTAAATTATAATTCGGGGGAGTGAGTTCAAAGTTTGTGTGAGATGTTAATATTAATCTTGAGGCATAAAGTGTGGCGCAAAAATTGTTGTTTGACAATAAGTTAGATAGACATTCGTCCATTAGCTGCTCAAATATCCTATGTTATCAGGGATAGAAAAATATTAATAGTAATAATAATAATAATAATAATAATGATGATAATAATAATAATAATAATAATAATAATAATAATAATAATAATAATAATAATAATAATAGTAAGTAGAGGAAACGCAAATGTCACGCAAGCGGACTGTCAAGATCACTTATAAATTTGACTTTTAAACTTGGCGTTTTCTTGTAATCTGATTTTCCTTATCACAATGTTCACAGATGATGTTGTTTTCGCTGCGGCAAGGCTGTACATGTCGCTATCTCACAGCTCTCAAGTTCGCCGTCAGACTTGGCTTCCCCAAGACGACGCGCTGTCTGTTGGAGGCCGGCATGTCTGCATGTGCTGGCGCTGTGGAGGGCGAGGAAGTCTCTGGGGACGCCGGGTTGAGGTCACGGATCTGCTCACGGGGTGGAGACCACCAATTAGCTGAGCGGTTTGCACTGAAAGTCGCTGTACCAGATCTCAAGATTCTCGATTGTTTTCCTGAAAGATTCTGGGAATCCGTATGTGTCCACGAGAAATTCGCATCGGATTTCACTGCTCTTCATTGCACTATTGTAACAGGGAAACTGCGCGCGGCGGAGAGGCTGCTGGAGAGGGGAGCCGACGTGCGAGCGCGGACATCTGACGGGTTCGAGCCCCTCCAGTGTGCCCTTAGCTCGAACAGTTTGCTGAATGAAGACACCCGCCTCCATGCCGCACGACTACTTATGCGTTACGGAGCGGATCCTAATTGCGGCAACTTGAATGATGAATGCAGTGGAAATCTGACAATGAATGAAGCTGCACATCTCTGTGGGGAAAAAGTACTCGAATTAATGGTTAAAAATGGAGGGAATATCCATTCAAGAAATAAAGACGGTCGCCACCCACTTTTCTACGCAAAGGATATTAATACTGTCAGCTACCTGTTAGAAAGCGGAATAGATCCTCACATAAAAGATGTAGAAGGTCAAGTAGCTTTGCATAGCACTTCCTCCTTCGGACTGTTGAGTGCGGTGGAGGCGCTGCTACCGCTCTACGAAGTCAGCATCACTGATAACGTAGGCATTTCTCCCTTGCACCTAGCAGCGGGGAACGGCCACACAGCAGTTGTCAACACGTTGCTGTCAAGGACGGAACATGTCGATATCGTAGATTGTCATGGGTGCACACCGTTGCATTTTGCAGCAATGAAAAAACTCAACATTCGATACGTAGAAGGCGCGGCAAGTGTTAAACGTGTTATATCCGATGAGCAACTTGAAGTGGCCTCTTTGCTGCTGGAGAGAGGCGCAGATCCCAACAAGCATACTTTTGCAAAAGTCACTCCTCACGATGGTGGGAAGAAGGAAGGTTGTGGGAAGTCAGATAATCTTCTCTCTGTGACTCACCGCGAGTATGGCGATGTAGCAAGGGGAAGCACACCACTGCATTGGGCTGTAAGTAGGGGGAAGATGGAGATGGTACAGCTTCTGCTGAAGCACAATGCGTCCATCAACAGTGTGGACAAACATGGACGAACAGTGCTTCATCTGGCATCACAGAAATGTGATCCGGCGCTTATAAAGTTACTTCTCGATGAGGGCGCTGATGCTTTGGCTTTGGACAGCAAAAAGCAGGCTCCTCTTCATTACCTCTTCTTTTGGCGAACTTTATTCGACAATACCTTCGTTTACAGTTTAGTGAAAGAGAAAAGTGATCCTTATAAACTGGATGAAATGTCACCGCACGAGGACACAAGGCTGCCACATGAAGTGGCGAGGCTATTGCTCGAGAACAACGCGAATGTTGAGCAAAAGGATGCAGAAGGGCGCTCGCCGCTGCACTTGGCGATGCTGCGGGGAGATGCCGAAATTGTGCAGGTACTTTTGGAACATGGTGCCAATCCTCAGCATCTGAATGATACCCGTGAGGCATCTCTCTGTTTTTTTATTCAATCTTACTGTTTGGATACAAGTAACATTATTCATCACATGCTAGAGGCCGGAGATGATCCTAATGGTCTGGACGAGAAAGGCAACGCTCCCTTACACCATGCGGCAAGGAAAGGAAAACTCGATGAGGTGAATCTTATCCTGCAGTACAATGCGAACATTGAACAGAAGGATGCGAAAGGTCGCACCCCACTGCATCTAGCGATTAAATATCGACACCCTGACCTCATTACATTATTTCTGGATTACGGTGCAAATCCGTTAGAATTGGACAATGATCAACAGGAACCCCTTAATTACGTTCTTATGAGCGACATATGTGTCAATGGACTCGAAGAAAGGCTACTAAACGTGGGGGCAAATCCAAATCGAATAGATATTCACGGAATGTCGCCACTGCACCACGCGATGAGACAAAGGCAGATCGAAGTAGTGAGGCTTATGCTAAAACACAACGCAAAAGTGAACTTAAAGGACTCGGAAGGATGCACGGCACTACACTACGCGATGCATTCTGACTGGCCATTGTGGGAAGGTTATTCTCCAACCATCTCAGAAACGGGTAAGTACGCTGATGTGAAACGAGTCGACCACGAACTACAGCTTGAGATAGTGAAGCTTTTGCTGGACCACGACGCTGAAGTGGACGTGAAAGATGGGGAAGGTTGCACGCCACTACACTTAGCTTCTCGAGATTGTGATCTACAAGTCGTTAAGCTTCTTTTAGATTGTCATGCCGACCCTTTAACCTTGGACAACAAACATCAAGGACCCCTCAACTACTTGTATAAACGACGCATCTGGTTCGGTGCAGAAAATATTCCTGAGGTATTACTTAATGCGGGGGCGAATCCACATTGCCTTGATGAGGACGGGACTTCGCCGCTGCATCAAGCAGCTAGAAGAAATCATTTGAAGGCTGCGAAACTTTTTCTAATGCACAAAGTAAACGTGGACCAGAGGGATAATAATGGACGTACACCGCTGCACCTGGCGATAGAAAAAGATCACCGCGAAATGGTAGAGCTACTTCTGGATCACAATGCAAACCCCTTGGCGTTGGACAAGTGGGAACAAGGATCTCTTAATTACATATTTAAGAATAAGCAATGGCAAACAGCTCTTGTTGCAATCTTACTTAATGCGGGATCGGATCCAAATCGCCTGGACCAAGATGGAAGTGCGCCACTGCATCATGCTGTTAGAAGAAGGGATTGCGAGGCCGTAAAACTTCTGTTGAGCCACAAGGCATGCGTGAATATGAAGGATGCAAAAGGGCGTAGTGCGTTGCACCAAGCTGTGACCAGAAATGATCCTCGTAATCTGATGATGTTGCCTATTGACGTCCACATTGAAGAATCAAACATTGATAGTGGAAGAGAGCTTGAGATTGTTCAGCTGCTGCTGGACCATAAAGCGGCTGTAGATGATGCGGATGCAGAGGGACGCACAGCGTTTTTCCTCGCTAATGAAAATGGTGATCAACGAATCATTGATTTGCTATTAGAAAATGGCGCAAATCGCTTGTCCTCGGAGCAGTGTAAAAGCAATTATGTGAATGGTGGAAGCAATTGCAGTTGATACAGTACAGAATGCTACAGAAATTGTATTTAAGGTGTTTTGGCTGCAGAATCCCTGAGTCTGAGTTTCTAAATCATGAAGATACAGGACATGGTGATAACGCTGTAGAGGAAGTTGCGGTGTGACAGCGGACAAATGGAGTAATGAAAGTGAGGACCCCTCGGGGGAAACGGATTCCTTATGTGAAGTAAAATTTCTCCGAAGGAAACTTTCAAAAATTGCAATGTCCAACTTCGTTTTTGAAGGATAGGGAATGTCCGTATGGCAACCCAGGCATTTCGTGTGGCGGATAAGTACTTGCCAAACATAAATACCTGAGTTCGTGAGCAAAATTCTTTTGAGGGTTCATGTAATGTAATACGCAACCGTTTCAAATTATGCAAAAAATACGTGTTGTTGTAGCTCAACTAGTTTTTGCATTATCAAGCGCTATCTTCAAGGAAGGAACGGGCGACAGAGTAAATCCAGTAATCATAAAATGAAAATGAGGTGCCGGCTAGCCCCTCGTGTACAACGGCGCCCAGCGCCGAGAGACTCGCATCCTAGCTCGGCTTCGTTGGCCCGTTTCCCGGGCCCGCTGCTGCTGCTTACAACGGCCCTCTTGAGTGCGCGTTGCATTCATGTAGTTTAGAGTTATGTAGTTATTAAAGCACGAGAGAACTACAGATTTGAGTATAAGTTACATCAAATATTGAATGCCTTGGTTCTGCTGTGATTCTGTTTGATTATGTCACACTATTGGGTCATTTTTAATATTTTTGCTACTGTAACAGCAAACTGTCCATGGAACATGACGCAGGTCATTTAGCAAACGAGTGACATTGTAGTGGATACATGCCACGAGTGGAGTAATGGACTGGTTGGATCCCGAAAAAAATGTCTGCTCGAAAATACTTGATAATTAGGTAGTTTGAATAGTAAGAGTAGCTAGGCCACTAAGACATCCTTGGAGTAGTTGCACACTCCTAGAGGATCAGTTTGGGTACTGTGGCAGAACCGGGCGGGTTACAGCGATATTGACCCTTAAATATAAATAAACGAATTGTATCCTTCAATTAGTATTGTGTTTTTAATTTCAAAGATTATAATTGTGAGGCTGCTCGTCGCCGAATTATAAACCCCAAAAGCAAAGTTCTCTGGTTGAATAAAAAAGTCAAAATAATTTTTTAATCTCGAAAATCAATTCTTTAACTCTCTTATCGCCTTACCCTTCTGAAATTTCAGTACTAATTTACTCTGACTCATTTTCCCTCAAACCAAATGCTAGATGTTTCTGTGCAAGAAACAATACTTTAACAGCACATGACCCTCTTTTCTGCTGGAAAACAACTCGACATTTTCTGTGGGGCAACGATGGGTGGGGGTCACGAGTTTTCGAAAGTAAAACACATTCTCTTTCAAAGCGGTAAATGAAACCATTGTTCTTGGGATACAACATCATAAAACTATTCCAAAAGTCCCTTTTATCGCTTGTGATCTGAATAGGATTTATTGTCTTTAGGATTTTTCTTACGATTGTAATGTCATTCATGTAAATTAACGAATTTTCCGCAGATCTTTATCACTACATAAATCCTAATTGTTTGTAATAAAAATTAATTGTTTTTCATTCATCTGATGGAATTTGATATTCTGAAAATTTTCTAAAAATTGATTGCTCTCCTTGATAAAATTAGAAGCAAAGCACAATGCTCAGATCACCAAATCTTTAGTCACAAACACAAATCACTAGTTTAGCAATATTGTTTCATGTACATGGAACATCTACAATGGTAAACATCTTTAGGACGAGGGTCAAACTTTGGAGAGATGTGAGATACGACGAACCTTGTTTTTCGAATCCAAACAATTTTCCAACAAGCTATTAGTATTACAATCATAATCTGTTATAATCTCTGTTCTACAACAACGAGGTACCTATGCACGTTATGGCTAAGAAGTAGAGCTGATGGAGAGAGATAAATGTGCCAAAGAAATACGCGCGGATTCACATCTTATAACTCCAAATGTATTTACTGGAAAATTTAAAATAAAATTTAAAAATCACAATCGTGAATGAAGTATTTTTTCTGTATATTTTACATTACCAGCTCCTTGACAATTCACCTCCTAATTTCCGAGATAAGCTATTTATCAATTGTGGTTCGTTTTATTTTACAGCACCATAAAACGATTCACCAAGTGTCTTCCATACTTTAGAAAAGTAATTATGTATTATTAATTTGCAGTTTATGACAAAATGTACTAAAGAAAGATATAATTTTGAACATTTGGTTTCATTTTAGTGCAAATCATTAGTTTTTTAATATTTCCCATGTCAATCCGCTGGCCTCCGTGACCAAAGTCTAGCAAATGCTCTTGGCTGTCCTGGTTATGACGCATCGGATTCTCATGATGTTGATCTTTTAGTTCATCTCATCGTGGGTCTTCCCCATGGCTGGTCTGGCAAGAGAAAGACCACGACCTGATGGTCGAAACGTCGCCATCACAGTCTGCGATGCAAAGTCACCCGGACAGCGCCCGGACGACGACCGAGGAAAATCATTACACGTGACAGAAGTGCAACACCTTCCGCAAATTGCTTCTGACTTCAGTGCTGGGCCACCAACAAGTGTCAGCGTGCAAACCATTCAACGCGACATTTTCTATAAGGGGTTTCGGAGCCAAAGGACCGCTAGGGTCCCGTCAGCATCGACACGGAATGAATGCATATTTAAAAAAGTAGACATGTATGGATTTGATTGGCGCCTCCTCAAATACATAATATATTATATTAAGAGTGTTTTAAGTGTTAAAATTGAAACATTTTAAGTATGTGACAGTGTCAAAGTTAACTATTATCAACTGATAAGATATTTTGAAAAAATGTCACAGCAAATTTCGGTTAGTTTGTTGATAATGGGTGAATTCAGGGGCGAATACAAAGAGAGATTTTGGGAGGGGAAATACAAAATTTTTAGTCGAATGTGTTATATTACAGATTTTGTAAAATGTCGCAGGCTACACTCAGCTCATTCTCATGTTGCTGCGATACTCATGTCATGCTACGATTTATTCGTTTTAATGTTTATTCGAATACAGAGGCGTAACAAGGCTAGTGTGCGGACCGGCCAAGCACCCAATAAATCGATCAATCTAGGAGGAACAACGGTAAATTCTGAATGCGATGGCTCTCTCGGTAAATCTATCCGCTGCCTGTATCCATACTTGATCTGTCAGAGCAGAGAAAGCCTGTGGCGCTGACCTAAACCTTGGAAACCAATAGAGAAACTCGGGACAAATTCGAAAGCAAAATAGGATAGGTATTGGATAAACGAGAAGTAGGGCGGAGTTTCGCCGTGCACACCGGGAGGGAAAGAAACGGCTCCACGGTGCAGGGACCGGGAGCAAAAAGTCAGTGAGAATCACGAGGTGAGCGCGAGCAGACGCAATTACGAGATCGAGAGTAGACGAAATCACGCTAGGAGTGAGTTAGGCTCGCGAAAGAGCAAAACACTGCACGATTAACTTGAGCTCGGTAGCTAGTGATCAGGTCACGCACATTGCTCCGATCCAGTAATAACTCACGCCCCGATCAAGGTAAGGTGGACAGAGCATCAAATCGGGCACATTGCTCACTGATATAAGTGGCTGCGTAATGGACTCTGGGAAAATATCGCGGCAGTACTTACTACGCGTGTATTGATTAATTGTTTAGTGATTCTGGGCACGTCAACTACCGGGTCATTAGGCCCGTAAGTGTAATGAATGTTTTTGCTCGGAAGTGGCGGCAATATTTCTCGCGATATGGCGAGATCCGGCGCCGACTTACCGTACCGGCTAGCGAAGCTTTCCCCAACCACGTATCTCCCACCAGCGGGGCACCGCCCCAGCCAGGAGCTCCGGACCGGTCTCCCGACATGTGTGGGAGTGTAGTGCATGTTAGTGTGTGTGTGTGTGTAAGGGGTGAGGATAGGACAAGGAAAAGGAAGGTGAGATTAGGCATTCGCCTAGTGTTGATCGAAGGAACCACGGAAAACTACCGATCAGAGCAGCCGACCACTAGAATTCTCCTCCAGACAGCGACTGAATTCGACCCAGCTAAGAAGCTGGTGTCGAAAATCCTGGCATCGTCGGGACTCGTACCTAGGACCTCCCGGTCAGAGGGTCTGTAGAGACATCAGTTGACCCCGTGAGTCATCTCTCCCGGTACTACACGTGTAAATGAGACGTTGAGATTAGAGACGACGAAGTGAAAATTACGCGAGACGGCGGCCGGGAGCTGATGTGAACAACAATGAGATGGAGTCTGAATCAAAGGGCGGCGACATTTGTGTGTGCGTGCGGGTTAATGGCACGGTGCCGACTCAGAGGGAGACAGCCTTCTCTCTCTCCGATCCACCCTCGGTGAGGGCGACGCTCCAGGTACCTAAGGCAGCATCGGTGTAGGAAGAGGAATTAAAGGGTATGTGTGAAAGACGTTTTTGTTAACTCAAATTTCAAGAGGGAAGAAAATGAGAAAGGTAGAAATGTTATTTTCTAAATACAATACTTTTATTTCATTATCACTACTAGTAGTATCAATAACAATTAAGATCATGAAATGAAAAGTGTTAAACGAGTCCAAATAATAATGCTTGTTGCGGAGTGCCACACTGCATAAGTGCATGGAAGGGCGATCACCGTATTTTCGAAAACTAGTTCATTTTTTAATGGTACGAATACAAATTCCGGAAAGAGCAACGAGTATGTTGCCCGAATTGTCTTAGGTTAGTACGTTTGAATAAGATTTAGAATATTTATAGGGAGAGATCGAGTATAAATAAACGATTTAATGTGTGTTCTGGAATACTTACATGCATTTAGAACTATTTTAGTGAATTTTCCTATTTATATATCAATTTTTTGTAAATTATCTAAGATTTTGGGAAGTTAAAATTTGAACAATAACATATATGAACGATTTGTATTTCAATTTATTCAAATGTTATGAAGGGGATAATTAATTTTTAATAGTGAAGAATTAAAACATATTTTAATAGACAGATGATCGGAATCTAATTCAGGAAGTGGAGATTGAAAGAATTGTAAATTGAGAATTTTTGTAACTATTATATCTAAAAATCTGGTATTATATTGTTGTCTTTAGAGTAATACGTTGGCTCAAAGGCAGCATGTACTCGTATGTCTATATTATTTTGAATTATATACTGTTGTAGACGAATTCCCTGTGGACTTGATGAGATGTAATCCCAAGAAATGTTTTTGCTGTTGAAGTCTCTCATGAGGATTGGATTAGTTGATTGAAAAAATGAGGTTGTAAATTTAAGTGGGAAAGGGTTTGTTTGGATGTTTATTAATATATTAGAGAAAAATGGTGTTATTTGAATTTCTAAAGCTATGTGAGATATAGGAAGAAGTGTTTGTTGATGAAATATTGAATTCTTTTTTATTATTTTAACTCCACCAGAAGCTTGATAAAAAATTATATCATTTCATTAGGGATTCATTAAGTTTCTGAAATATATGCTATGTCAATATTATGAAATAATAATACAAAATAATTAAAAGTATTTTGTTGTTGCTTTAGTTCATTAGAGTTCCAGCTTAGTAGTGTTATATTTAGATTTTTATTGTTACATTAAAAAGTGGAGGGGGGAGGTTTTGTAATAAAGTCTGAATTTGTGAGAGAAGTGTAGAAATAATTTGTTGAATTATGTTGGAAATTAAAGTTGTGTAATTTGAAGTAGAAGGGTTTTGTTTTAATAAATCAAAGTAAGATAATTTAGGTGATGTGTGATTGTAGGTTGGAGATACAGTAGTATTTGTATTTGAAGGGAGGTTCTGAATAGTAATTGTAACGTTGAAAGATTTGAGATTGTGAAAAGTGTGGAAGTTTTGTGCATTTTATTTTGGAGAAGGAAAATGGAAATATTTCTGTATTAACATGTGTTAATTTGAATTATTAGATTGTTTCGGTTTAAGTAATTCTTTAAATACTGAACAACCTTTGTAATTAGGTGCGTTATCACTAATGCAATTCACAGAAGTTGGAGGGAGGACAGTTCGAATAATGGTGATTTTCAATACAACTTATGCAAAGTGGAATTACTCTACAATTGGGTTGTATACTAATGA